AGCTACATAAAACAAAGCGAAATCTGTTCGCGAAGTTTCTTTGGTGATCAAAGATTGTCAATTAGAACGTGTACATTTTTCTGTTAAAATGTATACATTTTTTATTTTCTTGATATGCGGAATCGGTTAATTATAAATAATCTAACATGTAATCGAACAATATTACGGGTTTAATATAATTACAATCGGATTATCACTAATTAAACAGTAATTATCTAATTAAACAAATAGCCATACCAGAAACTCAAATATTCGGATATTAGCGTTTGAAAAGTCGTAACTGAGTAGCGTTGTCTAACGCAAAACGTTTTCATTCTATCTTCGACCGAAAACACGTGTCGATTTTGTTTCTTTCTTATTGTATTGCTCTTGCACCGATACAATTTATCCGAGCGCAATAAAATTTCCAGTGAACTATCAAGGATCGACAGAGATATTTCCGATTTTCTTCGCATCATGACCGATTTGCGGAATCTGTGAGCGAATTCCCCGATTGTTTCAATAAACAATTCGAATCGAAATTGATCAATGTTATTATATTCATCGGTGCTGTTATCCTATTCATAATGAAGAAAAATCAAGAGTCTTATTTGTTTTATAGTACCTACGACGTCAGAATTTTAAAATATGTCTTTTCTACATAATATGATTCCTTGTTAAAAAGTCAGACAGCACAGCATGCAAACAACGTTCAATGTAAATTTACTCCTCATGAAAGGCTTTTGTATTAACTACCACGTACTCGCCGCAGGGAATCGAATAGCATTTTACAGCCGGTCTACGCTCAATACATAAACTCGATGCGAATAATAGCAAACATCAACCTTTTACTGCCTCCCTGTAATCGATTTCAGGAATTGCAACGATTCCTCAATTGTTCGACAAAATCTGTGTTATTACAGTGCATTCTTTAGGGTAACTATAAACATAAACAGGAACTACGATGATGGTTAGGAAGAATTGTAGAAGAAAAAATAATATACTGTGAAGTGTTATATTACATTAATTATATTACATTCACAAGATGTTCGTCGAACCGAGTAATTTAATTTTATCCCGGTCTTGTTTCAGTCCACTTTTGACCCGACGAAAGTGATGTTATACACATTGAACTTCTTCCTTCTCTGCCTGAACGTGAGTATATATACATTTCAGGAATCAATTTGTATAAAAAATAATCACATTCCAGAGATATTCCAATTTTTTCTTTAATTATAATCATTCATCTATAAAACATGTATGCTTTTGATTAATTTCTAAAATACGCTTTCTTCCATATAATGCAACTTTATTGAAGCACAACAGTATAATGTACCATCGATACGCCTCACTTGCATCGACTTTTGTTTTTCGTTCCTGACCTTGATTTTTATTTTCAATTATAAAACATAGGTAGAAAGAATGTGTTACGTTATCAGATGACCAGGCGCCGGCTTATGGGCTATATCCCACGTATCCTTTACTTCAGATATATTCCGTGTTGTGCGTGATCTCCCAGTATCAAGAATATATGGCCGGTCGAGGCACCATCGCGGATGACTACGAATACAGGGTCAGTATTCTGAGAGTCTCTCAACGGAAAGAGGAACGGAATAAGGGACGAAAAGTTAAGTGTACTAACTGTATTGTCGAATAGTTAGCGTATTGTTGTCGACGAAACTAATCGTGAAAATTATGGATAGGTTCGAGAATAACGTCTGATAAAACATTGAAGTTTATTATTTAGTCAACATATGATATATGAATTTCATATACGAACCCCAAGACAATTTTTTCTTGTCCCGAGAAATCGGGTACTATTATTAAACTATATTATTAGATTGCGGTGATAAATATATTTCAGAACGACATTTAAATAACGAGTGTCTGTCCACAAAATTATTGTTCCCATTATGTTTATAGCGAAAGTTATAAAGAACAACGAGCAAGAACTTCTTCGAAGGAAATCCAATTATGTCTCGCCATTCCGGAAATTCTGCTATTGTAAAAAAATTAGTACTCCAAGGCTGTGAAAAGGTCTCGAAAGCATCGATATCGGGCAATCTTATTATCCAAATAGAAACTTTCTTGTTGCTTAATCTGAATTCTTATCCATCATCGTCGTTTCCTTTTTCATGCTATTCACATGGTTTCTTCAAATGCTTACGCATTCCACTAATTCACAATAAAGTCGTACACGGTAAAAATAAAAATAAAGAACCATAATGTATAATGCAAAAAAAAAGAAGATTATTGCGAAATATTTTATCGCTTGACGTGTTATTAACACAGATAAGTCGCACGATCAATATTTTATTACTCCATAGAAGAACGATAATAGGACGCAACAATCCGAAGCAATCATAAACAATTGCGCTTGATATTAAATAATTGAAGACTGTGAGCAGTATGGCATATTGGCTTCTTCGAATTAAAATTATTTATCACGGTAATATGAAGGGGTACTTATATGCAATAGATCACACACCGAAGCAAAGAGGCTAACCTGATGGTATCTTCCGACATTGATTAATGTAGATTGTGTTATTGATGACGTTATACATGCACGTCGGTGTACAGATCGAGCTCGTATTATTAGCTCTCTTCGAATAGTGTTTGACGTCGCGACATCCCTCGTAGCGAAGGTTGCTCGAATAAGCGTCATTCAGAATGACTGACATCCGGAAAATTCAGGGTAGCACCAATCTCGTCTCTGATATACGTTCGTCCACTCGATAAAATACTATGTAATAAAACGTTTCCTTAAAAATATCCCAATACGAATCGCGACAATCATTCAAGATTAATTCAAACACCATAAAACAAAAAGTTCGTTCGCAACCTTCGTACTAGCACGAACCAGATTATCTCGGACGATCTTCAATTTCGATTAAACTCCTCTCGCGCCAGCTCTCGTACACGAAACTCAGTTATCTTGCACTCACGCTGCAGTTTCAAAGAAAAACTGAAAAAACTCCGTTTACTCGTTATCTTTCGAAAAGAAGTCGATTGCATCGAAATTCAATTATAAAATGGGTCTTATGAAGTGACCTTTGAAGGTTCCAGCAGTGAGGTATGCCATTCAGCCGCCGACTACGACTGCAACGTCTTGTTTGAGTTCTCGAAGGGCGCCGACCAACAATGAAACCAAAGCGACTGCAACACCGACGCAGAGTCCTACGACCGGTCAGAACACTCTCTCCTTGGAAAAAAGTCCTGTCACGGGACGACCATCCAGGAAACACGTCCAGTTCCCTGACACGGCTCCCGACAGCCAGAATGGAAAATCCGGTAAGTGCACGCCCGCTTTCTACATGCATATGCACACCTCCATTCCATTCTGCATTTCTATTCTGTATTCAAAGAAACAGATTAACTTAACTTCATTTTTTCTGAAATTAAATCATGTAAAATTTAACAACTCAACTAGACTAGAATGCTAGAATAAGATTTCAGTGACATTTACAAGCCTGATAGATGAGACAAATTAACTTCAGAAGCAAGCAATATGAAATTTCCAATTTATTTTATTATCAAACGTTCAAACGGATAATTATATCGTCGACCTAGTTTATAGCTTTGCTCCATCTTAAATTGATCGTAGAGAAGAGCGGTTGTTTCAGTTGAAGGCTAGGACACACAGAGTTTGAGTTGTTACTTACGAAGTGTAGTGGTGAAGAGTAGTGGTGAATAAATTATAGGGATCACTTGTACGTGCGAGTTAACATTGATGGAATTCACTTTGTCGCTTATTCAAACAAGATTCTAGGAAAATATGTTTTTGATCTTTTTCATTAATTAGATTCGTCTGTATGTAACACGTGCTTCTATACTTTCTCTTTATGTCGCAACTATCACTTACCTTGATCTGTGGTTTCCTGTCGCCATGCTAAACGAATCAACGACAATTTCGAAACATCACATTCTCACTATGCATGTATGTCTACGTATATATGTTTCAGAAGTTCCAATCACGATGTTGGTACTTCAAATGGAAGCAGAGAACGAACACGCGACATCGTCGACCTCGTTGAAGCTCGAGGAAGCCACGATCGATCAGGTTCTTCTATCTCAGAAAAATAGCTATAGTCAACACACCTGAAGTTTAGACTCTGCTTGTACCATCGACGTGAAAGCTAACAACAAAATTTTCTTGCCATTTACTGCCGGTTCTCTTAGCTCTCTGAGAAATTCATGCGGCTTACGAATGGTTTCACACCACCAATGAATAATTTATCCTCGTAAAAGACATCCTCGAGTACAAGCTAAGCTGTGAGACAAGAAACCGACGGTTGAACACCATCGCTATGCTAGTTCACTCAACGCGATGGTCTATCCTTTATATCAGCATTTTGATCGATTGCCACCTCTGCTCTGTCGGTTATTTTCAACTGATAGTACCCGCATATCGGACTCTTTGGTTTTCTCGCGATATATTTACTAAATTTGCGATAGTATTACATTTCGTTCTATATTATCGTTAGAAGTCAATTAAAATTGTCACAAGAGAAGCGTCATCTCGCGAAATATACTCCACTGTCATTCGAAGAAATTTAAGACGTTTGCGCAAAATTAATGTCTTAATTTCATTTATTGCGCTAGGTACGCCATACGCGCTAGGTTCTTTAGGTTATCGCGAAAGCCGTAAAGTGTACAGGTGCAGAATCAGAGGCGATCGAGTTGAATGTAAGGACAAACGTTTGCGCAACTGTCGATCAATATTGACGCCATTCTGTGACGATTCTGTTGTCACGATAACGAACTTTGATCTTCCAATTGAAGATTAGCGCTTCAAACAATACTCCAACTACTTCAGAAATCGATCAGCTTAATCCAATGTCCGATACTGTTTCGAAATGAACGAACATCCCTGTGTCTTTAACAGAATGTACATTAAACGCGAGTAAAATTGTGCAATCAAGCTGACCAATCGTATTTTTGTATTATACATTTTTAGACAAATTTGTATTTTCGGGCGGAAAGAGAACATTCTTTCTCGTTTACAATGCAATTTTTGGAAAATTATTTATTTCGTATCGATTCGACTACACCATTGTCGAGTTACAATGCTTGTTCCCTAGTTTCTATTACGGATTACGCTGCTCGAAATTCACCCGCTACGAAGTAAAGTATGTACGATTCCAAATTTCGATATGAACTCGGCGATTTCCAGACTGTTCGTATCCTTAAATGTACATATTACTGTAAATTACAATATGTGTCGCAGTACCTGTTTACATAGGTTCCAAAATGGACTTTTAAGAGGTTGTTCTAACATTTTCAATAAATAATTTATGTGGTTTTTTAATAGATGCTATTTTTATTTTTCGACGACGACATCTTCTCGTAATTAATCGTGAAATTTCAAGCTTCTTGACTCATTACACCTTTCAACCAAAATAATGGCCTGATTAATCACTTTTTCATTCCCTCGATAAAATTCTTCCTAATTTGCAATAACGATTCTCTTTTCGTTTCCGGAAAGTAAAACACTAGAAAGAAGATACTGAACGTGTTCAGACCGGAAATAAACCAAAAGATAAGGGAATATGCGTTGTGTTCGAACATGATCTCACTCCAGACACGCAACGCGATAAACGACCATACGAAATTTATGCAAAAACAGAAGCTGATACACGTTGCTTTCGCGTAGATTGGAAATATTTCGTTTACAAGAACGAAAGGTACACTGGCCAATCCTAAAGAGGAGCTTATCGTGTAAAATAATACTGCTACGAAGGACAACAGCCGAAGATTCGTGGTATCTACGGCGTTCTCTTGCATGCAGAAGTAGACAGCCAAAAGGAAACTGCAACTAGAAACGCCTATGGTGGATATAACCATTAGAGGTCGTCTTCCTAAACGATCCACCAAGCTAATGCACATAAGATACGAGATCAGATACACCGTTGCTAAGACGATGCTGGTGTAGACCCCCTGCAGTTGAACGTCGTGGATCTTCTCGAAGATCGTTTGGGCGTAACTGATAAGAATAATCGAACTTGAGAACGCTTGCACCGTCATTACACCTGCGCCGATTAAGATCGCAGCTTTTCCTCCTAAAAAGTTGAATACTTAATACATTGTAAGCTATGAAATTGGCGACAAGGTTCGTTTTATATTGGATACTACGGAAATTTATAAATTTTTGAAGTTGACAAGGATTTTTTCGAAGATTTTATTTACCTGACTCAGAAATTAAGTGTAAGATAGAAGACAATATCCCATTGCATCGAGGATTGGATTCGACCGCTCTAATAATAGAATCCATTTCCTCGGCAACGTCACCCGAACCGCGCAAGAATATCAAAGAATCCATGGCAGCTGCGAATTCTTTTCGGCGCAGCAAATAATAAGGAGTTTCAGGGCACCAAATGAATATCAGAAATTGCAGCATTGCCAATGATATTGCCACGTAAGAATATTGGTACACGGTGCTAAATGAGCCGACTACACAGCCCAAAAGATTACTGCAATAATGCATTAATACGAAGCAACTGCACAAGGCACCGCGAATGTGCGCAGGAGAGATCTCTGTCACGAATATTGAGCCACTCGTGAAAATTATGCCACTCACAATCCCGCCTATGAAACTGGCCACGTACAGATTCTAAAAATAGGAAAAATCACGTTTGAAAAATATCACAAGTTCGTTATGCTTTTAAAATGTGTTACAAAAATTCGATAGTGATTATTTGATAAATAAACATTCTGAAAGTTCAGATTTCATATTTACCAGAATCGATGGATTCCATATTCTTAATAACCAACTTAAGCAAGTTGGAATAATAGTAAGCAATATCGAAATTTTTCTGCCTAGAAAGTCAACTATGAATATCGAAAGAAAGCAACCGAACGCTGTTCCAAGTTTTAATGAAGATACTATCCAGGAGGCTTCGTCGATAGCGATTTCGAAAGGAAAGTCGTTGACTGAGGATTTTGTTATCATCGGTGACGTCCATTCCAAAAACAGGTCCGCATTTAATTGGGCCAAACACACTGTCTTAATGCAACAATTATCGATATCATAATTTGTAAATTAATAATTCACTTACATACAAAATAGATAATACTATTTATAGAATTTCCCTTACCTACGAAAGTTATCAAATAAATTCTTGCATTCGACATGTTCGCAACTGCTACGTGATACACTGTTCGCTAGGAAAATTTAGGTTTCACGACGGATATACCTAATTACATCGATAAGAATTTTCTATTAGTCTTTCCTTCGTAACTATTTCGAAGGTGAACAAGCCGCGATAACGATTATTCCAGCAAGGTGTTTTAATTATCATGATTCCACGTAAGCGTGCTTCGAAAGCAACTACAATAGATGGAAGTGTGTGCATAAAATAAGTGATGTTTATTTTACGAGATATATTAGATACGTAAATAACATCCGTGCGGAAATTCTAAACAGTTTCCATTTCATATCTATAGTACAATCATCTTGTACATGCACAAGCAATAACCATCATATGTACCGGTATGTATTCGCAATCTACAACACAGATAACGAAATTAACTACTTGAATGCTAATTAATGTGCGGCACGGGTAACCAAACGTTGAACATTAATCTCATTACATTTATTTAGTTTATTGTTAATTTTTTCATGGAGTTTTATGAAACAACGTATGTATCTTCCTGCATTACTTGGTGTTCCTCTTTTTGTGAATAAACAGAAAACTCTGTCAAAATAAACATTTGTTATCAAGCAGAAAATTACTTCCATGCATGTATAATAACTACGATGTTTATCAATATATAAAGTAATTTATTTATAAATAATCAAATATTTTCATGAAATCACGGTGTAACAGTTGGTTGTAGATTACATAATTACACGTGAGATACGTATTACGTCTGACCATTGTCCGAGATCACTATCAGTAGTAATGGTTTATATACGCTAAGCCTCAGTAGTAACAAGCTGTATGGATCAGACTGCAATTTATGCAATCTGATAACCTAGCTACGTGATAAAGTCAGGCATTAAATTATATTTGTGTATCAATTATTCAATTCGTTTAATTATCAAATAAAGATCAAGTATGAATATTGGAAATATTTCTTTTTAATGAACTGTACGTAATCTTCAATCTATTATGTTCAGTGAACGATGTTCGCGAAACTTTTAATAGACTTTATTAAGGTTAGAAACTAAAGAGAAGCGGAAGTTGCTTATATGATGAAATTTAATTGCAAGGGAACACGGTAACAAAGTGGCTTGTGCTAGCCGTGTATGCAAAACATGTTTCAGGCATGTAACGTTGCACTACTCTGTGAAACAAGCCTTCCCTTAGAACACCTTCCCTTTATTATGTTACAACCTGGGATCTTGACAAATATTTTTAAAGACGAAGTTGTAAGCGCCGAATAAGACATTATTCTGTACTTAACGAAGTATTATTACGAAATTGAATTACATACACAGAGGCAGACTTTTTATTCCCTAAAATGTCTTGAATCTCCCTGAAAGTCTTTCGCTTCGTTTCAGGTAGTAGAAACGCGATAATCAAAACATTTATAATGGTAAAACCCACAAATACAAAGAACATCACGTACATACCGATCTCCTTCATTACAATGCCAAACATTTTACTGACTATGAACAGACAAATAGTACTCAAGCATGATTGATACGCAGCACCAAACATTTTCACATTCGGGGCGAAAAGTTCGGAAGTAAGAACATACATGATGGACGGTTGACCCAAAGATGTCATGAATGCGAAGAGAAAAATACCGATTACTGCGATACTACTTACAACGTCCACGTGATAATTTTTTTCCAAAAGAAAACTACATGTCCCTATGATGAAGCTAGATATCCCACCTCCAATAACTGATACAAGGAAGATAGTTTTGCGACCCATACGATCTACTAACAACATGGTGCACACAGTACTCACACATCCGATTGTTCCTGTACAGCTAGTTAAGAGTCTGCACAACATAAATAAAACATAATTCTTAGATCATGAACTCTAATTATTAACGCGAATATATTTATACATTCTCCATGATTATAAAATAATATTTAAATCGCATATTCGACAAAGACACGTCAGATGATTAAACTTAAAAGTATACGTACTTCATGCTTGATTTTTTTCCGAACGCAATGAAGATGTCGTTAATATAAGCCAAGATTATAGCATTGCCAGAAAATTGAGATGTGACGACGATGGAAGTAACAACGAGAAGTACTTTTCGATTGTTTGACACGAGAAATAAGTCCTTCCATTTGCATTTCGCCACGCAGTTCTCCGTATCGTTTACGATCATTTGTATTTCCTTCTCTTCAAAAGTTTGCCGAAGTCGCGTCAAAGATTTCTTTGCTTCTTCGTAATTTTTATGGAGCACCAAATAATATGGCGTTTCTGGCACAGTCAGCAAAAGTAGTCCCGAAAGAACAACTAGCGTGGTTGGAAAAATAAATGTGTTTTTTGACGGCACGAAAGCACTGTGTATGTACATTAATAAAACTCCAAGTTTCATTGAAAAAGCCTGACTGGAAGTAACCATACCACGATGATTCACTAGCGCTATCTCGGAAAAATATATCAATATTAATGGGAAACACATTCCTGCACTAATACCCATGACTGCTCGTATTGTATAAATTGCCTGAAAATAATGATTATTTAAATTTATCGATAAAATATGAAAAAAAAAATTTATCTTGAAGAAATAATTATTATACGTTCAATGAAAAAGTATCTTGTTCGATAATTATACCAAAACTGTGTCATACAGAAGAAGCATCATCCAACTAAAGAGAAGCAGTATTAGAGAGCAGAATAGCATGGATCTCCTGCCTATGTGGTTTCCCACAAGAAATACTATGAATCCACCAATTAAATCCCCAATTTGTGGGATTGAGGCGATCCAGGTTATTTGGTCGATCGTTACATTCAGTGACGAATTTGCATTCTCCAAATTTTCTATCAACCAGGGCGTCCATCCAAGATGAATGCCCAGATTAAGCGTAAGTATATTCACTGCAAGAAAATGATTGGATATATCGAACCACATGTATGATACGTCAAATATAGAATAGTACTACGTACCTACTATTATCGATCGAATATATGTTCCGCTCGCCATGTTTTCTGAAATATAAACTGCGGACTCCCTAACGTGAATCGAACAAATAAAGAAAAAAAAAAAATAATTACTGTTTTTCAAGAGATAACAAAATGTTCCTAACTACCTCACTGAATCATAATTGTTCTAATCCTCACTGACATTTTGTCATATAACTAAATTTTTATAATATATCATTAATGTATCTTCTTCATTATTTCGAGTTACAAGAATCTTGTGTATGGATTAAAAAATTTGTATGCATGATTTTTTTATCCTAATTGCATTTATATTTCCATGATAATTTCAATGTACAATAAAAAAAATGTTTACAACTTTTATTACAATTTATATCCATGCAACTGCTCTTGTATCTCCTGCAATGTTTTCCTCTTCGTCTCCGGGACGCAATAATATATAAAAATGATGCCTAAAGCAGTGATCGAAGAAAAAAGCCAAAACGCGACGTATATGCCGTTTTGTTCCACGATACTTTGATAAGATAAGGTTACGGCAAAAGCGCAACAATTGCAGCACAGCATTCCAATCGTACTGCCCAGCGCTTTAACGTTCGTAGGGAAAACTTCGCTCATCATAGTGAACGGAAGTGCGGCCAGGCCGAAAGCATACGTGACGATATAAAGTATCGATCCAGCAGCTGGCAACCAGGTGATCTCACTAATATCCATTTCGATGTATTGAAGGCAAAAAAATAAACCAATGAGATAGGTGGAGATGGTAACACCGGACGTAGAAATTAGAAGCAAAGTCCTTCTGCTGTACCGATCCACTATAGACGCGCTCATCACAGCGCACATCACTTGTACGCCACCCAATATCATGGTCAAGTATTTACCTTGAAGCTGGTTTTTCGTCGCGTTAAAAATTAATTCGGCGTACGAAAGTATTGCCAAGCTTCCGCTCCACTGTTGAATTACAAAAAGACCCAACACAACTATCAACGCTCTACAAAACAAGAGAAATTTGAGCCATGTAGTTTTAACTCATCGAGCTATATCCTAATTGTTTCTACAGAAACTTTCAAAATGATTCAATATCTTAAAGATTTATTTTCTTATTACGTATACTACCAGATCTCACGAAGGTTCAATAATTATTTTTCCCTGAAAATTTGTTACAACTTTGCCAATTATGAAATAAAAACGCACTTCCGATTTCCCGAGACGCTGACCAATTCCCATAATCCGGTGTTATTAGATAGGTCGTATTTAATGGATTTCTCGATCATCTCCATTTCTTTAGAAACATCCGTGGCTCCTCTTAATTGCATAAGACACGTTACTGCTTCCTGATTTCTCCCACGACGCATCAAGTGATACGGAGATTCTGGTAACGATATCAAAGAGACAAAGAAAAGGATCGGTATCAATGATGATACGAGTGCAAGATTTCTTATAGAGAGAAACGGGCCTATTGCCCACTCAACGAACAGACCAAATTTCGCAGCTACAGTTAACGTGGACGTTAATGTTCCCCTTATATTAGCTGGTGAAATTTCACCTATATACATAGTAGCGCATATATATCCAAATCCGTTACTTAACCCGCAAACGAATCTGCCTGCAATCAATTCCTGGAGAATAAAAATGAGTTCTTTGTCAATAATGACAGTTTTATATACGTACTTTAAAATATTTGATAAGAAAAGTATCGAGCCTATATCGGTTCTAATGTTGCAGATTGAAACCGGTAGTCGACACATATCTGTTTGCATGGCTTAAAGCATTAGCCATATCTGACAGAAATCAAACAGTGAATTCGCAAAATAATTGTAGAGTTATATCAATTAAAAGATTATAACGTAACATTGAAAATCGTATCCCTTATTTTCTTTTTCACTGTTGCTTCTGTGTGTAGTAGAAATATATTAATAAGTTACCCATGCCGATGTCGCGAGAGCTATCATCATCCATCCTATCACCCCTGGTATCGCAGCGAAAGCTAGAGTCGTCTTCCTGCCAATTACATTTACAACGTAACTACAAAGCACCGATCCCACAGCTGAAGCCAGAGTATAAATAGATGATACCCATGCAGCCTGCTGCACGGTCAATGGTATAGGACTGTCGTCTTGCAATAGAAGAGACAATGAAGGTGATGACCAGCCAAAGAATAGACCAAACGATATCATGCCTAGATTACCTAGTAATCATCGATTAGAAATATTTCTGTATGAAATTCTATAGTTTTACTTTTTCTCTAATGTTTTAACAAGTTAATCTCACTGAATAAAGATAAAAAAACAATATAATAATATACATATTTGACACAACTTACTAGCAAAGACAGCTAAGTACACTTTCTTCATGGTTTCAATTAGATATTCACAAAACAAATGGATAATTCAGCATCAAAAGATCGGTTGAACAATTAGAATGTTGCAGATGATGGTTTCTTGTGAAATCCGTGTAATGTATTCTTAATCACTGAATGAGTACGTTGTTATCAAGCAGGATATATCTTCAATTATGACGCGGCGCGTCGAGATAAAATCATTGCAATGCCAATATTACGGTAAATTAAATATTGACAATTTATGCGTTTTCTAATATCAGTAAAATATAAATACGTAGTAGGATAATAAAAAATCATGTGCCTCAGTTGATCGTAGGTTATCGTTTTATTATTACTAACTATATTTTAGTGAGTCTTTCACACGTAATTTACATTACTATATTATTAAACTAATGAACAGAAAATGGCTGCACCACACGCAAATAATCTCATTAATAATTACAATATAATTATGCGATAAAATGTTAATCGAATGTTTATTTTTTACCCTGTAAGTAGACATAATATTCATGTATTCTCTTTACGTTGTTTTCTAGAACAACAGATATTAAATGAGCAATAAATACAACTTATTAAGTCTACAACAAAAGGATATTTTTGAATAATTTATTCATGCCCAGTCTAAAGAAATTTATAAATACATAAAACCTAGTAAATATTGTACACTACAGTATGTCAATTATAAATTAAGATAGATAGTGTATCTTTTATCTGTTGAATACTGAGCTAAGAAATTAATATATCAATTTGACAGTATAAATTTATCACAGATTTGTAATGCTTGGAGTTTTTCTCTTTAAGATAATTACAATTAAAATATATATATTTACAATGATATAGCTGCTATTATTCTTATACTTTTCTTTTAATTTTACAATTCTAACCACGACTAACAGAAATTCAAACCCATTGACTAATTTTATAACAATTATGTAAATACAACTACCATTTGTCAAGTCTGTTATAAATGTATGTACAATATATTTAGCAATTTACGAATAATGAATGTTAGAAGCCAGAATGAATGTTAATATAAAATTGTTTAACACATAACACGTGTGTTTTTTACATGACAAAAGGCATTTGTTCAAGTTGGTATCAAATCATTGTGTGCGAAAACGTGACAAAAGTATGATTATAAAATTGATAGTATTTCGAATATTACGTAAATACTGTTTCCTGTATGCATACACTATGTAAAAACACAGCCAATTACATTAAACTTCTTATAAAATACTGAGTTTGTATTCTCTTTCCATCACAATTTTATAATACACTTTCCAATAATAACAATGTAATAATTCTTCTTTTCGTAATTTTATAAACTGATTCATTGACATTTTGTTTTTTTAAAAAGACTGTTTCAAACTTGTAAGAAACAAGTGCTAAGTACTATTCGCGAATACTCATTATATATACTTTACAATGTTTTAATATTGCAATATTAATGTTAACAATTTTTTTCGATATATTATTTAAATATTAAAAACAATTGCGAAATATACAATCATATACAAATTTGTCCTAAACATATAGACATATACAGCAACAACGTATATCAGAAAGTTTGTTGAGAAAGTTTGAACGACAGCAAACAAATATGTAGAAATTTTCTCAATACAATACCGTTCTTGAATGAGTTTACACCAATTGGTATAATAGCACTGTACTTATAAAGGAACTCTGTTTTTCTTACTAACATAAGGAAAATGTATTACAAATTTACCTGGAATATTCAATTAATTTTATAAAAGAATATAATATTTAAATGTTAAAATAACTTAATAAAGGAAACGACTCGCAGGCATATCAATTGCACCCCGACAGTTACTAGGTGGAGGGTTTTCATCATCGGAATTCTCGTTCTTCCGAAATAACATTGAATTATGTCGTCCGCGTTGAGGTTTTTCGGCTTGATGCCTCAATTCCTCGATATAAGCTGTAGTATCGTTTGCCACCAATTCTTGTAAATGTTTACTTAATGTCGATAATTCAGGTTTATCTTCGTCATAAAGTCCTTCAAACGGCACACTTTTTTCATAAAATAATATATACGGTGTGTCTGGTGGTTTCAGATCTTTAAAATCATTAAACGTCGTTTGTGAAACATAACTATCATTAAATTTGTACCAGTTTTGTTTAGAATCGCGAGCATAAGTAAAATAATGGCCATAGTCCATACTATAACCTGAATGAACAACAGCGGCATACAACTGATAACTTTCTGTAGATGTGCACAGTGGTGTAGATACTGGCATTTGTATAGTTTCATTATACATCACTTTATGGCGTAATTTCGTTCTTAATCTGGTATCGAAATCATAACGAAAATGTTTTAATATTAAAATTAAATATGTTGGTGCATGTAAAATTTTTATGATTCTTTGTGCATCGCATAATTTCATACATTTATCGCAACGATATTTATTTTCACCAGTCAATTTCTCTGGTGTAAGATAATAATTGATGAGATCTTGTACAGAAACTTCCTGATTCTCTTGAATCTCTTCTGGGAAGCACAATTGTAAATCACGAAATTTATCTGTATTATGAGAACTAGTATCACACTGAGCACACTGATACGTGATTTTACATTTTCCACCTAATACTCTATGTACAAGAGCTACTTGTGTATTTGTATCTTCCCCACCTACAGATTGTATTCCACTATCTGTGGAATCTGAATGTGAATCACTAAGTTGTTGTACTTGTGCCAAATCTTCTCCTGCAATAAAAACAAAAATATAAAGTTAATACTAAATCTTAGAATAATATCGTTACTTTAAAAAAGATTACCTTGAGTAAAATCTGCTAATGATTGTGTTTTTCTTTCTAATACAATACTTCCACTTAAATCTTCTTCAGTTGTCCACCGCTTAATACTAGCTCCTTCTTCGCTTATTGATGAAATATCATTTATCTCTCTATCATCCTTGTATTTAAGATTAGAATTATTAGCTTCAACATTTATGGTAGTTGACTTTTCTTGCTCATGTAAAAGATCTAAAAGATGACTGTTAAAAAACACAATATAGTATTTTAATTAAACATATTTCATCATAAATATATTATTTAATATGAAAAATTTGCTTATAATATTATAATTGGAATAATTTTCTAGTAATATATATTATCAAAATAATAATTATAAAATATTATTTTAATATAAAAAATAAACATTAAATTAGTAGCAACATATTAACCAGAGAAATTCTGAACTATCTTGTTGTTGGCCTGGTAGAAAATAAGCAGGACGTGAAGCCAATAAAATTTCAGTTGGTGCCAAGGAAATCCTCTTTGAATATAGTAACAAAGCAAATAAATTTTGCAACTTTTTAAGTACAACTTGATCATCAGCTTTGCTCATAGGTTTATACATTAATACTTCGTAACAAAATTGTTTAGTCATTAACAATGCTTGTAATACACTATTCATATAACATGTATTTCCAAGATTAGAAAGTCCAACTTTCCCCAAATGTGTTTTTGGTGATTCAATTATTGGTTCAATCTCTTCCATCTCATCTACCCAAACATGTTCATTCCATACTTCTTTAACAATATGCATTCGTGGCTGTACTGGAAAACTACTTTCCAAATTATTACAGACACGCTGATTTGAAAATCTTAATGTAAGTATCTTCATGATATCAACCAAATTTTGTATGCATTCTTTACTTGATTCAGAATCTTCTTTCATTAGAAAAAAAGATATCACCATTTGTGTGTTTCTTACTATATTTTGAAACAAGGATGGAGATCCTTGTCTTTTTAATATATAAAATATAATTATGGAAGCATTTTGACGAAATACAGGTACTGATAAAGCACGAAACATTACATCAAGTTTTGCTTTTGTGACTTCAATAAGTATGGAATATTTGTGCCGTTTTTCTAAGCCAAGTATAAACTCCATAATCCAAATACTAAGTCGATCACCTATCCATTTTGGAAGCCAACTACATAAAACTTTTAAAGCTTGAGCTAGTTGGGCATCAGACTGAGATTCTGAAAGAATCCAATTAACAGCTTGTGGTATAATAGAAGGTTCTACCACTTGTAATACAGCAGCCAAACCAGGCCCAGGATCTTGTTTTTGTTTTGTATCAGATATTATTCTATACAATGTTTGCAAACATATGAAAATTAAGTTATCATTTTCAATATTCTTAGACTTTGACCTTACTACTTTTAGGAAGTTTTGTACTTTAGTAGCATTGTCATTGAATTCAGAAATTTTTTTTGGATCACATGGCATTACAAAAGTAGATAAACTAATAACAACTGCTTCACAGAGTTTCGAATGACTCACAGAGTCTGGTAAATAGATACTGTGCTCTAATAATACTTGAAGTATCGTTGTCAGATGAGACATATCACTGATATCTGTATTCCTTAACATTGTTGCAACATCATTTGATATTGGATGAATAGAAAATGGTTTTTCTATTAAATATTTTGAAAACCAAATCATGATCTTTGGAATTTCTTGTACATTTCTTATCTCATCGTTGAGTATCTCTCGTAAAATAGTCTCATAATTATTTAACTGTTCATATATGGGCTCACTTTCTAATTTTTTAAGTCTGGTCCATTCTTCAGTAACGTCTATATCTTTACCAACTGTTATCAATTTCAAACATTGTTTAATGTCGTATTCGAGGATTTGTTCGGTATTCATTGTTCACAAATTATTTATTTTAACACCACTTTAAGCTGTTTCGCTTATAATTTTTAGCAAGAACTATTATTAACCTCAACCAAGAATGACTTTCACGAAAATCTAAATGATTTCATGGCCCTAGAAAGATAAAAAAGCAAATGTCAACTTCAAAACAGGAAAAGTAACTATGCCTACGACACAAAATCAAAGCAACGTATCTGATTAATGTTTACTTTTTATTTTAAAACTATTTATTTGCATGATTTATTTAAACGATTATTTATCTATATGATGCTATAGATTTATAAATTTAAATATTCTTTTGTTTGTTTTGTTCTATTAAGATAGATTTTAATATTAAAGACTAAACAATCAATAAAATATATGAAAACATTTTATACATAGTACCATTATGTTTACAATTTTGTAATTGTATATAGTTCCATTATTTCTATTTACATGTAGAAATACATTTTACAGTGCTGTTCTTAGTATACTATTATTATTGAAAATATTAATGATAAATTACATGTAATAGAAGAATAAAAGAAACGCTAGAAACATGAGAGCGTAAAATGTTGGCTACACTACAGGTTGTTTCGCTGGTTTCGACACAGCTCGCACGGTACGGGACGGCCAAGAATAGCAAAGAGCACGCGAATCTAGCCGTCCTGTAACTGAGTCTGGTGAAGGCGACCGACCGCTCCCTTCGTAGTCCGTCAGAACGAATTTGAACGTATATTTTTCTTAGTGGAAAAACACGCGATCCGCGATTAAGTTGTATATGGAGGTAAGAAGTGGAAAACGATCATTTCAGCGTGTCGAATCACGCAAAGTGAACTGAAGTGAAGTGGCCTCGGCGAAGTGGAGATCTAAAAGCAGTAGAGAAGGAGAGAGTGAGAAGAAGAGAAAGAAAGAGAAGAAAAGACTGTGTGCGAAGTGGTTATAAGATTCTTGAGTGCAGTCGTGCGTGTTTTCGGGCAATGTCTCTCGAAAGTCGTTCGAGCTCAGCCCTATTTAAAAGGGCTGAACAGCTCAAACGCTGGGAACAGTCCGAAACAAATCGTGAACCGACTCAACCACGTCAGGTCGCACGAAAAATTAAATTCTCAGCGGATTGTGTGTTCTTGGCAGCATGCGCGGCAGGCGACAAGGAAGAGGTCGTACGTTTACTCCAAAAGGGGGCGGATATCAACACCGGAAATGTTGATGGTCTCACAGCATTACATCAAGTAAAATTCTTCGATTACTCTTTTACACTTTTGTTTATATGGCACGATTTCATTCCGATACGATTACGTCCACAACAACAAACTCGACTGACAATGAGTTCTCCCAGTTTTGCTTTCTCCTCATGTTTTCCCCCCTCAATCTTAATTCTTAATGCAAGATGGCTACTACATGTTCCAGCTGTCTAATTTAAGCGTAATCGATCAAATTTTCTTTCATACCTACAATGTCACATTTAATAATAGGATAAAAATGCAGATGTAGTTCTACCACAAAGTATGTGCTTCCGCTATCTCTTGCAATTCAAGCCATACAACTACTCCCTCTGATAACACTCGACAAAACTGTTCATCCCCACCCTTATACGACTATTGTTTATGTATATAGAAAATGAATTTAAAAATCAACAAAATTATTGCGCTTGGATTTATCTAAATATTTTATTGATAAAAGTTAATTAAGTAAAAAGTTAGTTAAGAAAGTAAATACAACTGAAAAATATCTTATCTTATCTTTAATGAATGTATATAATATATATAAAATTATTTCTGTTATATTTAATCTTCATTTTTAATTTATAACAATTATACACGTAACAGTTAATCTAATATCACAAATACCAAATAAAAAATTAGTTCTATGTAAATAAAATTTACACAAAGAAGAATGCATGCTAAAATTTAATCTTAGATATTTTATAAATGAGCATATGTTTTATATCACAAATTGGGAATGTTTCTTTTAAAAATATTGATTAATAATGTAAATATTGTGCTGTTCGTATCTAATTTATTTTGTTAATCAAGTAACTTGAACATATTAGTTTATAAGTTATTAATAATATATCAAGGTGCAACTATAAATTATCAAGATTGCTAAAATATATTGAAATTAAGATAAAGTTAAAAATAATTTTGTGGAAAATAAAATAAATATATTCCTACAATGAACAAAAATGTTTAATATTAATATTATAAAAAAGTAATGTTTTATATATATATATATGTGTGTGAATTTTTATTATGTATACACAGTGTAAAAAATAGAGAAAAAGTTAATTTATTAAAATCTTATTACAAACTTAAAATCTCGAATTATAATAAAGGTATGTATGAAATTCAAATCTTTTTCTAATGATTTAAATAGATAAATATCACGTACTGAAAAAATGATTAATATCATATTTCTGAGTGAGAATGTATTCTGTCACTTAAATATAATGTCAATAAGAAATAAAATTTCTATTAGACAAATAGTACTTATATTATAACAAAATTATTATAACTATTTAGAAGTTCTTTGATTATTGTTCATATTATTGCTGAATTAAATTCAGTTTATAAGTTTCACTGAATGAATTGTATCAAAGTTATGTAATTACTAAACTCAGCCAAAATCATTCATAAAGCATTTATATATACTTATAACAAACATGATTTAACCTTAAAAAGTACATATATATACATACATATATAATAAATTATTTTAGATGAAATATATCACATTTATTACTATTATTTAAGTCTGATAGTAAGAGGAAGTTTAGGCATTTCATGGATTTGCGAAAATAGAATGTGAAAATACATCAGGCATCAAATGCTATTTATAGTTCTCTGTTAGAAGTCAGAGGCTGCAGCATCTGTATTCTATGTCCTCTGTCTTAAAATGTTATGATACATAATGTCCTTTTTAATCTACATATGACATCATCCTCTAATTTTCATTAAATTTCAATTAGACAATTTATTATTTATAACTATTAGATGTAACACAGAATTCAATTATATGAAATACTTAAATATTATAAAACTTATGGCTAAATTAATAATAAATTTTTGTCTTTCCTTTTTCCCTGCTTTTTCTGTTTAACCTTTAAAAGTATTTGTAAATATATTATTGGAAGCTGTATTTATTAATATTTATGTAACTTTTTACATATCCTGTCGTTAGTGTTAAATATTATACTTTAAGATATTTTACCATTTCTATAATTATAATTTATATAACTAAAAGGAGTCACAATATTTTAATTATAGGCATGTATCAATGATGATCTGGATATGGTCGAATTTTTAGTAGAAAAAGGAGCTGATATCAATTGTGGAGATAACGAAGGCTGGACACCATTGCATGCAACTGCATCTTGTGGATTTATATCTATTGCTAAGTTAGTATTGCTTTTACTTTGATATTGAAAATACTAATGATTTATTAATGATTTAAATATTTTAATAATTATAATATAGTAATAAATTTCAGAAATTTGTTTAAATAAAAGAATATAATTTTACAGATATTTAATAGAGAAAGGATGTAATTTAGCAGCAGTTAACTATGATGGTCAACTAGCTCTTGATATTGCTGAAAGTGTTGAAATGGAAGATATGCTGCAACAACATATAAGTAAAGCTGGTTTGTATTTATAATTATCTTCTATAAAAAAAACATAGTAATCATTCAAGTACTATTATAAAATTATATATTTTGTAATTTGGTTTATAGGCATAGACTGTGATCAAGCCAGAAGTGAAGAAGAAAGATCAATGTTAAATGATGCTAGAGCATGGCAATCAGGAGCAGCTGGCAAGGATTCAATCCATCCTAAATCAGGAGCCACTGCTCTTCATGTTGCTGCTGCTAAAGGCTACATTGACGTTATGGAGTAAGAGTCTCCAGATTCTATTAGAATAAACTATTAGAGAAAAAAATATTTAAAGAAAAATGTTAGATAAAGTTATTATTTGTTATATACTGAATTTAGCACTGATATTTCAGGATATTACTGCAAGCTAGGTGTGATGTTAATGCTCAAGATTTTGATGGTTGGACACCTTTGCATGCTGCAGCACATTGGGGACAATTAGAAGCCTGTGAACTTCTAGTGGAAAATTTTTGTAATATGGACATTAAGAATTATGCTGTAAGATATATTAAAATTGTTTTATATTTTAAATAACCAAAATTGTCTCTTTCATAACATTACATTGATAGGATCAAACTGCATTTGACATTGCTGATTCATCTATATTATCAGCCCTGGAGGAATTAAAAGCAAAACAACAGTTATTAATGAAAGACCATCCACAAATTATTAATAAGAAACAGCCAACTATACCAAAGAAACGGTTTGTATTATAAACAATTAATAATCATGTACAAAAAAAATTCATTTATTGTATGAATTATTATATTGCAGCGTATCAACAAATAACGAAAATACTATAACTATGCAAGAATCGGTAGAAACATTTGAAGAAGAGACGCCAAATAAAGTTAAAAAGGTCGAATTAGAAATTCAGTCTGATAAAGAAGATTCTAGTACTGGAACAAATAGTGATGTTGGTATGTTTTGTTCCCTTTATATTACTTATATGGGTTTGCTAATTTGCATGTCTATATTTAAACATTTTGGCAAATTATTTGATTTTGTTACTAAATGGTGATGATTTTCTAAACTTAGATATTCTATGGATATTATTGTGTAGAAAAGATGTATTTAAAAAGATGTTTTGTAATTTGTTACTTACAATTTCATTTAAAAATGTGTGGCAGAGTAATACTACCAGAGCACTCTGTGAATTAAAGCAAATAAACCTAGTATTTCTCAATCATTTTGTATATACAGATGTTTTGATAAAATAAGAATTTTATTAAATTTTTAGACATATTCTTTTTTGAGAAATTCAGAGATTTATTTAAATTTATTTACAAATGATTGAGAAGTGCTGATGTAGGTAGGAATAGTTTCTTATGAAGAATATATTACGCACTATTCAGTTTTGCAAGTCTATTTTACTTACCTTAACAGCAATTTGTATTTCTTGTAACAATGCTGCATGGACAGAAGCGACACGTGAAACAGATATGGAAGAGAGTGATGGTGAAGGTGAATCTGAGACTAGCTCAGACTCACATTCTTCCACTTACTCCAATCAATCTGATAAGTCTAACGAATCAAACCACTCTCCATGTCTTACAGATGATGGTGAGTTTTGTCTGTAAGACTGTTTTTATACTCTTAAAATTACATTCTGTTGCATGTACATATTATAAGATCTCTCTTGTTCCTTTTCATAATGAAAATAATACTTTAAGATTTGATTATTACAAATACTATTCCATTGAAATAAATGGATGCACATTCCATTGATGTCCTTCCTTCTTAAAGAGATAATGTAAAATTAATTTGATTTACATTATATTCATTTTAATTTAACTTTACAGAAAAGAAAAATAGAGCAAATAGAGAAGAAACAGCCCCGCGTAATATTTCGCCTCCTATCGATGCTAATAAAGTTCCTAATCAGGTAATATTTATATACGAATTGAACAATATATTTTTTTGGTTATCAATTTTTATAATTTGATTCTTTTAGGCTCCAATAATGCCTCCAAAACAACAGACTGATAATGAAGAAGGAGTTATACCATCTTGGCGGCGATCAGGCTCTTTCAGAAATAGGGTACAAAATACAGAAGCAACTTTGTCTTCGAGTAAGTTATGAATATTATGAAAATACTTTATATTGTTTTACATCATTATAATATTCTATTACTATCTTCTATTTTATGTATACGTAGGGCTTGAGGATAAGGATAAAACTATTAAATCGCCAACCATGTCAAACAAACTTAATACGGAACCTGATGTCGTATTGACAAGAACGCATAGCTTTGAAACGGATGAAAAGTAAGTTAGATGAATTTAACATACATTGTTTGTGATATTACAATTTTGGAATTTCTTGTATTATTCAAATTTCGTTAACATATACATACATTTTTTATCATATATACATTATTCATATTATAATCATTTATAATTCTGCATATTTATATTTATGTTTATTATTTTGTATATCAGAATCTGCAAGCATTTAACAAATTATTCACGTCAGAAATTAAATATAGTAGCTTCTGAGCTTTATGCATATAGAAAATTAGAGTAGTTGTGTGCATGGCATGATGCATGTTATGCAGGTTTTATGAACAGTACTTGGCATTACGAGCTCGAATCAAGGCGTTTTCTTGCCCTACTCTCCATTGCTGCAACGCAGCTACTCCTACTCACACGAATACTACGACCCGTTCTGCATCTCTACGCGAAACCCACAGGTGCGCATATTTCGTACATCATATATATTAATGCTTTCGATATGTATAATTTTTCATAAGATTGCATCAAAATTTCTGTGTATTTGTTGTACCATATACTGTTATAATATGTTTATTATAACAGTTTATTATAACAGTATAATATGTTTATTATAACAGTATATATTATATTAATATATTAACAGTATATATAAACAGTATATATTATAATAATATATTATGATATTATAATAAACATATTATATTACAATCATTAATGTACGAAGTAAGCTTTTTGCATTCTCTGCTTTTGCACGGCTTAAACGTCAATTAACCATCTTATTGTATACCTCACAGTATTATGTATTTCACAGTATACAATTTTTAAACAGTGTAATATTAAACTTTATTCTGATTTTATAAAATTCACATAACTGAGATGAGATTGTATTTTTCTATTATATAACAACTATACTGTTTTGACTTTAGAAGAAAAGAAGCAAAATTAAACTTGGAACTCTCAAGACTGCCACAGGGAAGCAATACACTTTCACCAACAACTACATCCAAAACAATAGTGTCAAGTACACTGCCAACTACTACAGCTACAGCTACGACTGCCACAACAATAACAACTACTACAAGTCCTATTCCAACTAATCAAATACGCAGGTAAATATTAAACAAAGTAAAAATTTATTCTAAACAAATTCATGTAGGAAAGCAACTGCCATTTATAAAGTATTTTTCTATAATTTCTAAGCTAAAGTAATAGATTTAGAAACTCAGTAAATGAATCTGCTAAATGCAAGAGAACTAAGATAGGTTTTTAAAAGCTTAATTACTGCAAACACTTATTGGAGATCTAGAATATGTACAAAATACATTTAAAACCGTAGTTTATATATTCATATTTGCAACGTGCATTGTTAATATGGCTGAGTAGTGTTCAACCAGTGGAAGCTACAGCTACAAACAATTCAGTAGCAGTTCCTGGAACTCCCACTACACCAGGAGGGAGCAAACTAAGTCCAGGAAATATCTTCAAGAATTTCTTCAAGTGGGTACTTAATGTTTGACCTGAGAAGATTCTCTTGAAATGTGTGATTTTGCATATTTTATAATATATTATTAAATTATTGGCAGTGGCATGAAAATTTGCTTTACAGTGTAATTATTTATTTGAGTTGCATATATTTATCCTAAAATATTACTTGTCCCAATAACCACTGCCTTGTCTTTGTTGGTGAAGATAATATTTCAAACTCAAAAACACTGCCACTGAGACATAAGAGTTAATTTTCTCAGCCATTTAAGTAGCATCACATTTTTCAATGTACATTCTTTTTGTATAAAATCTATTTCTCAGCAAATTTACTGATGTGACACAAGATCATAGCTTCAAGTGCACGAAAGTACCATGTATGACATAAAAAGAAAAAAGAAACATGTGCCTCATTGACATACTGTTTCTTAATTTTACAAAAACATAAAATTTTGGCATGTTGAATATTTCAAAATATATTTTATCCATGTAACATAAGTACAATTAAACAATATTATTTTCTGACTATTATATTTAGGACTGTAATATTTACAGATGGTTGTGATTGATATAATTAATAACAAAATAGTTGTTTTAAGTTAAAATAAAGGCATAATTGTTTTATGTGATATTTGTAAGTGTTGCTTGTAAATTATGTTTATTGTAATATTTAATGCTTTTTAAATTTTTGTTATATTTAAAGTAAAACTTGAAAACATTGTATAGATAATTAAAATGTAAATTATCAATATAATGTAAATTTCTGTCTAGATCATTTGTTCCTCCTGTTCGTGATGAGGAAAGTGAAACACAAAGAAAAGCACACGCGAAAAGAGTAAGAGAAACTCGACGTTCGACTCAAGGAGTGACATTGGACGAAATCAAAAGTGCAGAACAATTAGTAAAAAAGAAACAACAAAACAATGAAATTCCTTCCACAATATCTTCTACACAGGTAAATCTCTTTATACATTACCTTGGCTTTGAAATATGTCTAAATCCTACTAAATTATTATAAGATGTACATATTGTGCTAGAATTTTTTAATCCCATATGTAACTATTATGTAAATTTATAAACATATGTATAATTGTGTACGTTTTATTTTGCACACCTGCAATACTTATGAAATACTAAATTTCTTAATAATAATGAAAGCTTTATAATTGTTTACTCATATTTTTTTAAATAACTCAGCCTGCAACCACTACCAGCAATACAGCCTCGATTACAGCTACAATAACAACAGCAACTCCTACTACTGTAATTTCAAATAAACCTTCTGAAGAACTTAATTTACCTGAAAGACGACCTTCCTGGAGATTGAAAGTGGATAATGGAAGCAAGGTTTGTAGTTTATATCATTAAATGAATAATTTTTTCACATTTTGATATAATCCATATTACACTTATACTGTAGTAATATATTTTTATATTATTGAAAAAAATGTATTACTTAGTTCCAGCTAGAAGATGCTAATAACAGAGCTACTACGCTATCTAATACAGATACTACTACAGCATATATGAGAAGACCTTCAGCGGGTACAAGTGTACCTAGACCATCATCAGCTCCAGTTGAAACTATCGCAACGAGTAGTGCAGAAACAACAGTGACATTACCACTTAGACGATCGTTAAAACAACCTGAAGATAAAGGTATGCACGTTGATACTTACATATATAGGTTTAAGTATATAAATAAAAATTTTTATACTACTTCTGCTGATATGTTTTAGAACAAGATAAGGAAAATGATAGTAGAAATGCACAAGCTACACAAGCTGTTATACAAAGGAGACGAAGACCTAAAAGGAGATCTACTGGTGTTGTCCACGTTGATATGGATGTTAGTATTAATTATTATTTCATTAATTTCAATTATTTGAGTTTATCATTTTTTATATATTTTTAAATTATGTGTTTAACATAAAGCAGCTTAATCAAGTAACTGAATATTTTATAGGAAATCGATCCAGAGAAACAAGACTTAACTGCTGGAGGAGATTATGATGAGTCCAAAATCAACCACAATGAGGTAAATAAATTAATTTTACCTTATTATTTTTTTAGAATTATAAATAACATTTAAAAATTTTGACAAGTTTTCTACTTTTACAAATCTGAATTAAAAATTATTTATATTAACCAAAAAGAATGAAAAAACATTTAATTATCTATTTTTATTACTTCATCATTAGAATAAACGAATTCTTATATGTAATAAGATATTTTTACTTTAACATTGTTTCTATGTTTGAATTAGTAAGCATTATATATAACTATTATAATATGAACGCAATTTCATGAAGCACAGACGTTTTGAGTTATTTTGGGATTAGTCTCTGGGAAGATTAACCTCTATTCGTGCATGCTTCGTTAAAAATAGTTTCCCATTTCTTATCCTCCTATATCTCGTCAGACTGTGCATTAAGATCAATTGCACATATAGAAGTACTGTAACTTTATTGATTTCTTAATTTTATATTTAAAATCATGTTTATAATCATATATTATTTTCGTACTATTTTGTATAATTTTGCATCATTTATTCCATTGCACACTATGCCTCTTATAAATAGATAATCTTTAAAATATATCAAAATTTATTGAAATTATTACATTAGTATACATAGTATATAATAATTTATATAATTCATGACGTATATTAAATGCACACAGATAGCAACAAATTAAGTATTTGTTTATATAAATGTTTCAACATATTTCATAATATATAAATAAGCAGTCTTTTTGTTTGAAGTAACAAAATAAGAAACAGAAGTAAAAAAATTGATCATGAACATAGCCTGAGAGTACCTAAAAATATTCTATTGACATTTGCAACAGTATGGCACTTTGACATTTAGAATAGATGAGAAAGAATGTATTTATTGTTTGCATGGTCCTGGACACATTTGTTTATATAAAAAAGGAAACAAATTTGTTTAATTTTATGGTAATATATATTGTATAACGTACGAAATTTTTTAACACAAAAATATAATTATTTTAATTACATAGTTTGCATTATATTTATGATATGAATAACATCAAAAGCATATTTGCAAAATTTGTATATATTTACAAATTATTGCATAGATAAATTATTTTTTCTAATATAATTTGATATATTATAATTAAAGCTATAGGAATTATAAAGTAATTATATACATATTTCACAATATTTAATTATTTATAAAATATCTCAAAAGTAAAACGTGAAATATATTTATTCTAAAAAACACAATCTTTATAACAGTGTAGGTTTATGCCTGTGACCTATAAATAGCATACCAAACTGATGCTTTAGAGTAAACTGGCTGATGTCTTAAGTTCCTCCACCCAGTCTACGTCAGTCAAATACTTGCTGTCATTAGAACTAGATCGTTTTATATCTGAATATATTGTGACAAAGTGATCTAACATTAAATTATAAAATTATTTAAAAATTTCAATCTTTCTTTAAAAAATACTATGTAAAGAAGTTATATTTAATTAAAGAATAAAAATAGTTTAAAGTAATACGATTTTTAAAGCTATTTTATCAGTTTTATAAACAATGTCATCCTATAGAAAAAGATCTCAAGGAAAACCAACAACAGCTGCAGGATTAAGAGCTCAAGCATCAGCAAATGGAAACTCAATTTTTGGAAACAGATCACGAAGTATTAGTGGATTATTTCCTTTAAATCAAAATAGTTATTCCGGTCTGCTAGGTATTAACGAAAATCCTATTGGATTACCAAATTTTTTTAATAAAACTACAAAAAGTAATGAATCATTTAGAAAAACTCCTTATTCAAATTCTACAAGTAATTTGAATTATCAAAATCCATACACCACATATGGTGGAACATCATCAGGATATGGAAGTATAACTCTTCCAATAAATATTAACTCTTTGCGTTTACCACCTTCTACGAGTTATAATTATTTAAATCTTAATCCAAATAATCATTTACAAACACAGAGAACAAAAAGCTTTAATAAAACAAAAACAAAACTAGATCTTCATATTGGATCTAGAAGTTCTAGTTTGCAAAGCTTAGCCAGTTCTGAAGGATACATTGTAAGAAAATATATTAAAATATTATAAAAAGAAATGTATTATATTTTTTTATGAAATTTGTAAAAGTTATTTTAACTTAATTATATACATCTCCTTTGTTTGGATTTATTTTACAGAGTGGAAATGACCGTACTGGGAGATCTAACAGGCTAGGATCTATATCATCACTATCATCAGAAGCACCTTCTATGTCAGTAAGACTAAAGTCTACGACTTCTGAAAATGGTGAATTAGATTATAAAAAATTGTATGAAGAATCTCAAGCAGAAAATGAAAGACTTAAAGAAAAGCTTAGGCGGTCAGATGAACAATTAAAGGAAGCCAGAAATTTATTGGACAAAGCACAAAGTGCTCAAAATAAAACAGTTCTATCTGAAACTGAGAAAAGGGAAAGGAGAGCAATGGAAAGGAAATTGTCAGAAATGGAAGAAGAATTGAAGGTAAGAATTAAAGACTTTTATTTTACATTTTAATTACTGTTTTGTACATTGTTCTCTAAAAATAATCTTCAGATATTATTATATATCAAGAAATTATTTTAATTAAACAATTATTTGAAACATTTTAACATTAATTATTATGTATCATTATATTTCTATACATTTTTCGATTACATACATGATCTTAGTTAAAATGCACGTTACAATTTTTTGACAATTACGTTTTGATTGTTATAACTAAATACAGAGGAAGGTGCCAGCATTTCTGGAGTGGTTAATTTGAGAGAAATTGAAGAAGTATAAGCAGCTTTTAATGCATTGCTTTTCTTTATTTGCCATTTCTTGGTGCTTCTATTTTTAGTACTTCTTATCAAATAATCACGCTTATTATTTACGCAATATAATGATTTTAATTGGCACTTTGTATTTTTTTCTTACTTTATTTTTTTATTTATAGTCTGTGTGGTTTACATTATCTATACATTTGGCTAATAATTGAAAATGATATTATTATTGTATAAATGATGGTAGAGTACATAGTATTGTCTGGTGGGGCTTTTATAAGACAAGCGAATTTTAGGCTAATTGTTTCACTGTTTACAGCAATTACAAAAGCTCAAAGCTGAAAATGAGAGATTGAAAGCCGAAAATCGGGCACTTACCCGCGTCGTATCCAAACTCACCAATACTACTAAATAGGTAAAGGACATAATGACAGCATCTGCGTTAACAGTGTACATCGTATTCCATGTACAATATTAATTAATTAATTGATTACTTACGATTTTTACGTTCTGATCGCAATATTAAAATGTTGAAACGATGTCGCTCACTGACTTATCTTACAATACAGCTTCGCAAAATATACTACGCGTAATTGTGATCATTAAAATAGTTTCATTTTAAGAATCTATAACAGCTTATGGTACAAAAATTTAAAGCTTGTATAAATCTTTTTAATAGATATTATGCTATAATTATATAAGACTACGTTTTTCTCTATTTTACTAATGATACTTACAGTATGTGCATCTTTATTGATTTCCATATATATATATTCTTTTTATATTTCTAAATTCTTACAAAAATAACGTTTAATAAAATTTACAGATATCTTATTATTGTTAAATCATTTGTACCAATACAAATGTTACGTCAATAGAAATTAAAATATCAAATACATAATCAGATTATTTCCCAAAATTAAAGAACGCAGCCTGTCCTTTATTTTAGTTCTAAAAACAGCTCTTATAAGTAATGTAATTTCAAAATTTTTTAATTATATAATTTAAGATGTTTTAAAATAGTAAAACTTTTAAGAAATATGAAATTCTTATAGTTCTAATCCATAGAACATGGACTGTTTTAAAATTTCAGTTTAATTTTAAAAAAAACTTACAAATACTTTTATTTCGGCTATATTTTTGTAACTTTTGAGTACTATTTTTGAACTTTGTGGAAATATAAACATTTAAGAATATTTAAAAATTTATATACATAACTGTATCATTTTGCCTAAGAAAGCATGTTCAGAGTAAAGTTGCATTTTATTGCACTATGTATTGTTTGATACTCACATTTCATTGCCCGATTTATATTATACATATCACTCTTCATATATTGTCTACTAGTAATTTTGTAATAATAGATTTTGTAAGATGCATGAAAAAAATTGAATAATTAAAATATAAGATTGCATCAAACAATAAAAAACAATCTATATTTATATTTTCTACATTATTTTAAAGATATAATTTATTTTAAAAATCATAATAAAATGGTATAAACGTTATTTATGAATGCAATAAGAACCAGAAATCCAATTGGAAGAGCATTAACTTAGAAACAGGAGATAAAAAATATGTATTAAACAAGCCAAGATATTGGGGTATATATTAGAAATTGCTTTACATGCAATAATTACTTTCGCTTTTACTTTTTATTTCTGCACATGATCTTAAAATATAACAGTTTATTAAAATTATAAATACATAAATTCTAAAAAGGTTCAAAAGATATTGATAAAATATAATTCAATATTTTAATTTAATTATGTTATTCCTTATATGTGTGTAAAATTTTTACATAGCATTAAAATTATATCCACTTGTTATATTTTATATATACTACTCCTTTGATTTTAATGCACTTAATTGTTTTATTGTTTTCATTTCTAAATCTCCAGTTGCAATGGTACTTGCTTGTGTCCCATGTTTTGTTTGAGTTGTTTTTCTTATTTTGTGAGCATTTATTTGACCCACTCTATAATGGCATTGCCTTTGTATTTCATTCTTTATTTTTTAAAAATTTCTTTTTAGTAAGGAATACAATTAAATATGACACAAAATAGTTTTACCTTCTTCTTTTCTAGGTGATGGACCAATTGAAATGTGAAAACCAGAGGCTAAAAGATGAAAACGGTGCCTTGATAAGAGTAATCAGCAAATTATCCAAATAACTCCAATGGTCTTAAAAAAGGGCTGTCTAGCGTTTCTTATGTTGCATTACAATTGATTGAATGAATTGTTTTAGCTATAAAGCATCATGATCATTATTGCTAGTATTCTTACAATGTATATTACATCATCACATTATTGATGAATTTATTCTTAATGCTAGTAATTTAATTTATTATCAAACAAATCACTCGCGTGGCTGTGCCAAGAGCGAAGAGAGACATTGCTCCTATTCTTAGAATTGTGAATAGTCGACTATAAAGGACTTAGAATTTTTACTTTCTCACATGTAACTCTTCCTGTCGAAGATAAATTTCATGGTTCATTTTAGAGCCGGCGCTTGTAAAGCAAAATGTACTTCGTTCGAATTGATAAAAAACAAACGTTCTTTATGACAATTTTTTTTAAAGAATTCACGTTATTAATGTTGACTCTTTATAAGGATATTTTGTAAATATGTAATAGGTAATAATAACGTGGCATTTTAGAATTAAATAAGAAAATTTTTTACTTTCAAAAAACACGTAAGAGATATATATCAAATTTATTGTATAAACTTGTTTCCATAATTGTAATGCAGGCGAATACATTCGTAGCGTATTACAAGATTAAGTAGAACAATAAAAAAAAAAGTGAATTAAGATAATGATTTTCATGCTATTCAAGTGGCCTTTCCTGGAAGACTGCAATTTATAATCCTTCCATCATTGCCATATTTTACAGAATGCAGAAAATTCATGCAGTAAATAATGTATGTTTTAATATTATTTTACAATTCGTTGTTATTGAAATATAATTCAAACAACTAAAATTTTTTAATACATAAAAAAGGTTAAAGATAATGTAGTTTCTATTTATTGGTATCAACAAACAAATTGTGTTGTTACATTTAACAACTAATTTAATGTATTCGATTGAAAGAAAGGACTTTACTTTTTAAATAGAAATATTTGTAATGAAATTTTAATTTTGATAAAAATTATAAATTTATAAGTAATGAGAAAAGGAAAAATGACAATGTATGGGTGACATGTTTTTTAACAATGTTATTGTAAAAAATTGTACAAAGATAAGTTGAAATAGTTATTTCATAATGATGTTTGTTATTAAATAACAATTCTGCGTAACTGTTTAGTATATACACGTACTTCCATTATATTATATAGCTACGTGCTTATTGTACTTGAAAATTGTTTGAATGAAACTAGCATCACAGTATACAATGCTCATTATTGTATAAATATAAACAAAAGTCCATTTGTACAATTTGTGATAAGTAGTTCAATCTTTATCAAATATTTTTCGGCTTGATTGAGATGTTTCATATTATGTATTTTTTGTAAATATAATTATCTATAGCTATACATATATATGATTGTACTGTATATGTATACAATATTATTCAAATGATCCTAATAATTATTTGTAAATTTTTGTTTGCGTTCTTGTCATTCATTTTATATCAATGTATCTTCATAACATTTATAAAACCACATTCAATATTTCACATAAGCAACACAAAATGATTGAATCTTTGCAAATTCATTCATTTGATAAAGATTGATTCTGCTATGATATCTTGCACGATTATAATAAACATGTCCTACCCTCAGGTATCACGTAGATGAAAGTCAGTGAATGTGGTCTGACGTTTTTGTGAAATATTTTATAATATAATTAACACTGTTAAAAATAAAATTTTGTGCTGGTTCAAATTAAATTTTGAAGTTACATAGGAGCCTAACAATCTCCAGTTTGTTAAATCTGAAATATTTATTTCATATTTGGTTTTATATTTGTGATTTACAATTTATAAAAAATAAATTTTTTTAGAAAGATTGCTAGAACGATTGCTTATATATTTCGTATAACAGTCTTAATGCGGTGATATGTAAATATGTTAAAAAATAGGCACATTTAATTATTTATAAGTTATTATTAAAATGCTTCGATTATAAAAATAACATTTGAAATTAACTCAATAATCTTGTCATGATTTTTGACACTTTGACCATATCTGCACGATCCTCAGTAAGTATAGCTGCCTTGTGTAGAAACTTCTTATATATCTTTCTCTTTCCTGCTTTGTACTTTTTTACCAATTCAGGGTTTGCTTTAAGTATTTCTGAACATATCAGTTCCAATTCCTTTTCATCCGATATTATAAACCATTTATTTTCTTCAACAATCTATATATGATATAAAACATTATTAGAATTCATTAATATGTAAAAAATATAAAGTAATTTAAGTTCTTTTCACCTGTTTTGGCATTTTATTTGGTTTGTTGACTAATTCATTTAATAACTTTCTTAATGTCCGTCTATTTATTACTTCAGCTTGTATTAAGTCCATCAATTCCTCTATATACTTCTGATTATTAACACTAAAAATTCTATGTATTAATACATCTTTTTAATTTATTACAATAAACTTACCAAAATGTAAGATTCAAATTATAGTCATCCATAAATGATAAGATGTCAGAAATAAAAAGTTTAGCCACCAACTGAGGATCACGATGTTTACCATTCTTTAAGATGTCGCAAAACAGTAGAAACAAATCAAAATTACTCTAAAAGTAAAAGTTATTTAATACATATAATATATGCTTAATTATAATTTAATTTAACAGTTCAGATATTAAACATACTGTTACTGCTACAAGCGTGTCTGGTGTAAGACCCTGGAGTAAATTTTTACGTATTTGTTCTGGCAACTCTGGTAATTGCTCTTTTAAAGATGGTACATCAATTAAATTATACTTATTTTGTACATTTCTCTTAATGTGTAAATATAAGGGAGGTAAATTAGGTTCAGGCATAAAACGATAATCCTAAAAGGTAATAAATATATAATGTTCCTTATGTTAAAAATTATTACAAAAATTAAGTAAATATAAACTATTTTAGTTTGTGATTACATGTTTGTCTTCTTTTTCACGCATGAGAATTGTATTTTTGTTTATTGGATTCCATGCACGAGTCTCATTAATAACTTGTCCTCCTTTTTGTAGAATTGAAATTTGTCTTTTTATCTCATATTCTACAGCATGGTTGAGAGCACTTATACTTCCAATGTTTTTCAATTCTGTTCGAACGCCTAAAGGTGCATTAGGTTTACTTACAGAAATATTTGCATCAACCCTTAAAGCCCCTTCTATAAATGCAAAACAATCTATTTATTTCTAATTAATAATTATTCATAGATAAACATTGCATGTGAGAATAAAATCCAGTTTACCAAACCTTGCATTTTGCAAGAACATGTGCCTAACAATTGTAAAATGAGACACAGTTCCTGTACAAGAGCTGCTGCTTCTTCTCCATTTGTTAAATCTGGCTCAAACACAAATTCCATCAAAGGTATTCCAGCTCGATTAAGATCAATTAAACTTCTGTCACAAATGAAACAAAGCAACATATAATTTATCGTATTATTTTGCAAAATATATTTTAATTATTATAACAGAAAACTTAATAATGCCTTCCAAAAACTTCATTATGAAGACTTCTCCCACTATCTTGTTCCAATTGTATTTGTTTGATTTTTGATGACTTTGAATAAGATTTCTTGTGCAATCCAGATTTGAATACATTAAATTTAATTTCTCCATTAACAGCTAAGGGCTTCCTTTGTTGTGTGATTTGAAAGCCAGCCTATACAAAACATTATTAATAAAATATATGTAAAATAAAATGAACACTAAATAGATGTGTATATATTTTATATTACTTTAATTTACTTTCAATAATTATGTTTTAAATAATGAAGTTATTATAAAGTATATTTAGATATATTTACAGGCAAATCAGAATAAAAATAATGCTTTCTTTCAAACATTGAAACAGCATTTACTTCACAAGAAAGAGCCAAAGCAGTTAACACTCCAGCTTCTACACATTTTTTATTTAATACCTATAAAAACAATACAATGAGAAATTACTGAATTACTTTTCAAAAATATTTACTATACTTTACTGGCATCGTCCCAGGTACTGCACAATCAAACAATGATACACAGGAATTAACTGAATGATTAAAACTTGTGGGACTCCCAGAAAATAATTTTGATTCTGTTGAAATTTGTGCATGTATTTCCAAACCAACTGAAGGTTTCCATTCTCTATCATATAAAAAACATTTTATTGTTTCTATATGTAATGTGATGTATTTTTCAAGTAATTTTTTAACATACTTACAGATTTGTAGAAATAAATCGTACACAAAATTTCCTGTATGTATTTTTATAATACTTTTTTATGAAATTACTAATTCTTCTATATATTAACATTTCTGAAAACTTATTTTATAAATACAAAAATAGGATATGTTTTTTACACTTAAAAATATGACTGTAATAGGTAATTAAACAAAATGGATTTATATAATATTGTGTTGGCAACTAAGTGATTGCGGATTTTGTCACTAAGTGGTATTGACAAAATCCGCAATCACTTAGTTGCCAACACAATACTATGTTTACTACATAGATATGAATGTTAACTTACTGAATAACAAAGTTTATATACATAACTCACCTTTAAAATGAAGATAGTAGTTTTTGTCTATTATTATACATACATGTTCATTCAAATCTTACGTAATTTTAATCGCAATAAACATCTGTTATCAAACATACGTGTATGTATTATTCTACTTGGGTATTAAATTATCGATACATCGAAATTTCAAATTGTATATGAGTAGTATAATATACAAATTTTATATTTTCAAGAAATAGATTGTATTTTCAAATTTTTATTCTTTATTACAAATTTATTTATTGCTTAAATTATAAATAAATGAAATGGAAAGTAAATAAAATATAGAATGTAAACCTCCAATAAATTAGTGAAACTTGACAATATATAATTTTGCAAATTCATTTTTTGTGCTACTATTTTGAAGTATACCTTTAACTATAAATTCATACAATTTGTATTATTCTATAGATTGAAATTATAATAGATATTATAAAAACAAAAGCCGTTGAATTAAGTACAACAACAGTGCTATTGTGGCGCTATCATATGGTAAGGTAGGAAGTTTGAGATCAGATAGATTACTCAATACACGTCACATGTTTGGTTCATCACACAATGATACATATTTACACGGTGTTTTTGTTGAAATAATGTTTAAAAAATAGTGAGCAATTAGTCTTGAAATTAAATCAAAGCGTGATTAACATATATAAGAAATATATACAGCATTACCCATTTGCTATTACAAAATTTGAAAATTAAGGTATGTAATTTAAAGTAATCTTATTCCTCACATTTTATTACTCTTTCTATTGATTTTAAGATATTAAATAATTCATCCTCAATTTGATGAACGTTCTCAAAAATTTAACCTCATTAATCTCAACATACATATTTTTTACAACCTTTAAAAAATAATAAATAACTATAAGAACTATATCACAAAACTATACAATTTTAATTATTTATTGATTTTTAATGAGTATTGATGAACTAATAAATTTATATAAATATACTTTAAATTGCAGATGACAAAACTAATGGAGTGGCTTTTATTTGCTGTTTTATTTTTTAGTATATGGATTGCTACAATTACTGAAAGTGTTAATTTATCATTTATCAAAGAATGGAAACAATTTGTCCTCCTTCTTCCACCCATTGCTTTATTTGTATGCAGTCTATATGCAGCTACTATTATTTTATATAGAGTTCTTACATTTAACAACTGTGAACATGCAGCTATTGAATTGCAGGAAGTAAGTTTAAAAATGGATATAATCCATTTTATTAGTATCATTACATAAAAATTTAGAAACAACCATTTCATAAATTTTTTTAGCAAATAGAGGAAGCTAAGAAAGATCTTCAGAATAAAGGTGTGGTCTTAAAGTGCAAGTGAATTAACTTATTTTTATATAATATGTAATCCAGTAATGCATATTAAGTAATTAATATATGATTATTCTATTTATGGATGTCATATTTATATATATTTTTTATAATAATAAAATTGTTAAATTATAGAAATTTAAGAATTATAACACAAACAAGTGTTTCTTGCATGTAATTTATGTACATTAATAAGCTCATGTGCTTATTAGATAAGAAATAATGGATATTAATATGAATAGCTATTTTTTAACTTCTACGTAAATTCTAATGTACTTATTTATTACAAGCATAATAACAAATAATCTGATCTTGTTCAATAATATTTTTATTTATAATGCTTTATTATTTTTGGTATTTGACATAAGGAAAACTAAATTAAGATATTTTTATGACATAAGATTTATATAGTTTTACTCTTTATAACAGAAGAATCTTTAAGGCAATTATCAATTGTTATTGCATAATAATAAACATTCAATCTTACGACAAAACATTGAAACGTATAGTTTATTTATGTAGATTTGTATCTTTTTACATACATATGTATGTATAATAAAATGAAACTATATTCTAATCTTCAAAATTTAACTTGCCTTAATTATACTTATATCTGCTTATATGTATATACCAAAAAGGGAAACTAATATATTCATTTGTGCCTAGACTCATCATTTTTATTTATTAAATATGCAATTTTGCAATAGTATTTGTTTTACATTGTGCTATATTTCTAATAAAATTTTAATATCAGTACTAGTATCTTAAAAATTCGAACGATTCCTAATAAGTTACATATTACTATGTTAAGGCTACAACCTATTGAATGCAGTTTCATAATATTAATAATCTCATTGCCTTCACTTTTATAGAAAGTTAATTGTAAATTTTTTTTTTAGATTCATAGTTTTTGTATGTCAACTTGTATTTATCTATTTAAGATATTTCATATATGATTATTTCTTATTAACTAACTAGTCATAAGTTAATCGAGCTTTTTTCAGATGAAGAATGGATTGAGATATCGAGGTCAAAGCAAATTTAAAACAATATATGTGTATATGTTATTTAAATTTTCTTTCTTTTCACTTGAGAATTTCTTACATTTCGTTATTTGGTGACAAATGAAATGACTTATAATGTGTTATTAATGAATAACTATCTTCACCATTTTTGTTTAAAAAATACGAGACTTTTTTATACATACATACATAGGCGCAAGTTATACGCAAGTACACACATATATACATATGCAATCATACATATACGGATGCACTTACATAATTTTTATATTAGAAAGCCTATCAAATGTACAAAATGTGCTTGTCATGTACATACATATGTTTTAAATACACATATATCCTTGTTCATTTATGCAGATTTATATGTATGTGTAATTGTACAATAGCTCCATCATATAAATACTACAAAGTATTTATATTTTTGTATATCAATTCTTTAAACAAGCAGGCTTTCTTATATAAAAATGTAATTACACTGTTTCATATATTCATAAAACAAAAAGTTTCGCCAAAGAGTAATTTTCAGACTGCAAGGATGGATTATGACACTTGTGCAAAATATCAAATTTCAATCTCAAAATATTTAAAAAAGTGTAAAATTATATATTTTGAAACTGATAATTTAAAACTATCAAGAATTTAACGCATAAAGTATTTTGGTATATAGTCTCAGTAAACTTGTATGATTTATCAAATATGCCAATGTAAGATTAGCACCTAGCTAAAGGATTAATGTAACATAAATATATGTGCACACTTATATACAAAGTAAAGATGACCAGTCCAAAATAAAAAGACGCCTGTGTAATTACCCACCCTATATCAGTCCTTTAACTCCTTATTATGAAATCAATAAAGTACGTTACTTCAGTCATCAAGACTTTGTGACAGCAAAAAGTTAGCAGCCAGATTTTCATTTTTTTCACACGCAAAATAGGCTTGTACAACTAAATGCTCCGGAAATCCTAGTGCCTTCAGCCTCTCAATAGCTTCTTTATCCTGAGGTGTTACCTGAATTACAGAAGCTTCTACATCCGATCCTGCTCCTATACCAGCGCCAAGACCTCCACTTATACCACCAGGAGCAGTTGGTGGTGTAACGTTAGCTGCGGATACAGGTGTAGTTCTCCCTCCTGTACCACCAGTAGTTTCTACTACTCCAAAAGAGGTATATAACATAAGAATATTCATAAACAAGTAAATGAAAATATTTTGATTTTAGCAGAAACTCACCAGGCTCATTAAGCATACGCACAAATGCTTCTTGATTTTGTGAAATAAGTTGTAACAGTGCAGGGTTAGTTTGTCCAATTTGTTGTAGAACAGCATTTAATAACTGAGGATTTTGTTGAATGACTTGACGCATTTGTTGAAATTGAGGTTGCATTCGCAAAAACGCTAGTGGATGCTGACCATGATCTTGAAGTTGTTCTTGTGCTTCAAGTTGATCTTCTGGTAAATCTTCAAAAAGCTGAGCTGGTATTCCTGTTAAAAGGTATTCAACAGCCCTATCAGGATTGTTGAAACTTGCTCTCAATGCTTGTTCAACTTGTTCACGTTCGTATCTAATATAGATAAATTGCATTAAATAAATAAACTGTAACTTAAGAAAAATATAGTAATTAAATGATTATAACTTCTTTTTTTATTGAACATATATCTACCCCATATCCACAATATTGTTCACCATAGTATTATAATCTTCACCCATTAACAAGGCACTTTCAGCTTGACCTCCAACACATCCAGCAGTAGTACTTGCTTCAGATTGCTCTTGTACAGTATTAGTAGGATTTGATGCTCCCTGAACAGTAGGGTTTGAACTAGGTTGTGCTACTGAGCTATGACAAAAAACATACATATTAAGAATAACTCTATATAGCATGACTAAACAGACTTTCTGATAAATTAATCTAAGGAATTGAATTATACAAAAGATAAATCTTCATAATCAATGAAGAATATTATTATGACATATTTTTAATTTTTTTAGTGTAACATATTCAAATAACATTTAAATTTTTATTATTAAAGCTGGAAAATATTCTTTAAATGTATTTCTGTCATAATACTTTAAATTAATACCTGGTTGTACTACTTTCTTCTTTATTATCTGTATTTGTAGTATGTTCTTCTTCAGTCGTTGTATGTCCATTACCAGTTTTTAGTTTTGTCACCATAACAACTATAAACTTCTTTTCGTCTATATTATATTCTGCTAATGGGTGATCATCTGTTAATATTTTTCCTATAAAAATAATGTTACATTAATGTATAGCTATCATTGTACGATAACAATAACGTTAATAAAAATGAAAATGATTCCAATGTCTTATAATTTTTTTATTTAAGTTTGTATAAATAATGGATATCAGAATAAATTTAATCCGAAAATGAATTAGTTTATAGATACGTAAATATATTAATAAATTTGCAATTGTGAGAAAATAAGGTTATGTAAGTCATATCCCTCACCAGCATATATTAACTTTTGATATTTAGCAGGAAAACCTTTTTGAGTCTCAATCTTTTGTTTCAAATCTTTTACCTAAAAAAGACATAATTAAAATCTATTGTACTTGAAATTCACTATATAAATAAATTTACTATATTCACTTACTGTTTGCGATGGATCAATTTCTACTGTAAACGTCTGCTGCTGCAAGTTTTTTAGTGTTATAATCATATTGTTAAATGAAGAATTACTGATACGTCGTTGATTAATAAAGGAAACTTTGAAGTATCTGGAGTAGTAAGGGTGTAAAGATGTTTTGGTAAAGATCTTTTCAGCGATGAGTCGGCACTGCTTAAAGCAACTTACAAAATGCTTAACTCAGACTAGTATGCAGCTGAAAACATATGATGACATAAAGCTGTATTTCCATTACTGAAGACAGTTGAATACGTAAGGTATGTACTAAAATAAGGCTGCATCAATTCAAAGTAATTTGATTAATCTAATTTGTATCAATAAATATTAAACACATATATGTACAAATAGTTATATTTATTGCTAACCAAAAGTCTAAAGTTTAGTTTTTAACATTATTATATTTAATTGATTTCGATGATAAAATTACTGAAACAACAAAAATATAAAAGCAAAATATAGTAACTAACATATTTACAAATTAATACATATGTGTATGTATATATATATATATATCCACAAGTAATTTAATTTTAGAAATAAATGTGTAAGTACTTGAATGAAAGTTATTGTGATTCTTTTATTTATACATATATTTATACATTTGCGAATGACTAGAATAAAACTAAAAATAGTTCACAATAAGTTATAATTTGAAAATGTACTATATAATAATGTGTTACACATAAAAATTTAGGATGTATTAAGATACACAAAAATCATATTGTTTCTATTCTAATATTGTGGCAAATCATATTTATAACTTTTATTTGTTTCTAACCAGGTTGATTTTTCAGTGAAATTATTTAATTTGTTAGAGTTTAAAAAATATAGAAAATTTGTATGTTACCTTTTTTGATGTTTTTACATCATTCCAAAGTGATTTATACTTTGAGTATCTCAATACATGTACATAAAATATATATAAATACTTACAATCTTACGTTCTATGTTCTAATAAATGTTATAATCTTATGTTATAATATATATTTTATCATACATAAATACTATGTTGACATTACATATTGATTTTTTATATTCTTCATAACAACAGAGAATTATAATGTTCCTTCTATAAAATAACAATTAATATAAGTATAACAGAAAAAATAGATTGAGATATCTACTAAAAGAATACATGAATTAATAAACAATTTTTATTAAATATACATCTTATAGTTAAACTGAATTATTTTATATTGACACTTACAAATTAAATGCAGAATATCCAGAATGTTCTTCAATTTTTATAACAACTATGTATAATTATTCTTGATATGGTGTATTTGGAGTCACATTTATCATCTCTGTTACACTAAAAAATATATATCAAAATTATATAATGAAATGACATGAAATTAAGGATGAAATATTAATATCGAACTATTAAATTATTCATTAAATTGCAAGCTTAATTCTATAAAAAGAGGCAAAAAAATTTAATAATTCAATACAAACAAAACATTTTGATTAATTCTTAACAAAATATCTCATACAACGTGATAAATGTTCTATGCCTTACCTTCTAAACAATTACATGCTATATTTCTAACTATTTTTATATATTATATATTTAAATACAAAAATATAGATTTATTTGAAGTAATTTACTTAAATATAACAATGTATGATAAAATACATATATGATGATGCTATATTAATTAATTTTTTTTCTACATTACTTTAAAATGATATGACATTAACAAATATATATTGTGCAATGTATAAAAATGAATAATATGCAATGAATAATATGAATTATTAATAAAAAGATATCAGTCATATCAATATAGTCAGTCATAGTTATACAGAAATTCTGAAAAGCCAAAAATAAAGGACAACAGGTATAATAAATACATAACTACATGCACATAATTGGGCTTAACTCATAAAATAATTAAATACAATTAAATACAAGAGATACTCATGAAAAATTGTCTAAATTTAGTATTTAAAAGATATACTTCAAGCCATGTTATGTATAAAACATTAATTAACATTCTTGCAGGATAGACATAACACAATATCACAAACACTTACAAGAACAATTACGGTGCCCTAAGCATACTTTGTTGCAGTCATCTTTACATTAGTTTGCTGTATAACATACATTATATAACGTTATATAAGTTTATTATCAAATTTAAATTTAAAATATATAAGAATATCAACATTAATACAAAAATTAATTAGGACAAGAGTATTTTCCATTTTTATTTAAATATTCTCAACCTCTTCCAATTCATTGTTTAAAATAACACATAATATAAATTTATAGTATTTTCAAAATTGGTAAAACCTTACTATATTATAGTGATTAATGTATGCAATAACTATCAAGCTTACCGATTAATTACCAACTAGTTTCTCAAAAAAGTACATATGATGAATTTAAGTTTAATGTACAGTCAAATAAATTTGTTGCTTACTAACACTTAGACAAATGTTTTACTAACTTTTTAAGATAGCTTGATAGTAAATACAATATGATGAATGTAGATGAAAAAGTATATCTCTTTTCTATTTATATTATAATACTTTTGTTAAAAAAAGAATTCATTTATAGAGCAACTGCATTTTTTAATTTTTTTTAATTGAAGCCCCTTTTAAGCACAACACCATTTAGTAAAAAGTGAAGAAGAGAAAATATAATGTAATATATATATTAATGTTTACCTTTTAGAACATTTGATGTGTATTATTAATAATGTAATGCCTAACAACAAACAAATACATCCTACAACTATATAAGCAATGCCAAGAAAAGGATTCTTTCCACCAAGAAGAGAAGTAGTGCTTAAAATCATTCTTTTTCTGCCATCAAAGGCAGACACAGGATATGCTACAAAAAAAATATTCATTTATAAAGTCATTTTCAATAAGTAATATATATTGATAACTTTTACTTACTATAATTAACAGTAAGTGTATAATTCCCTGCTACTAGACCTTCAGTGAAGCCATCTACTGTATGATTTACTCTGCGGTAAAGTTTTCTAAAAGTAGGCAAAGCAGCAGTTCTCATCCAAACAATCAAGTCTTCATTTTGAAAACCATTATTGCTTTCATTTTCATTATCTAACTCATAAATATATTTATCCCAATTTTTTGGTTTTGTAAAATTCTTAAATACTTCTCTTAAGTTACCCTCTGGATTTCTAAATTTAATATTTTTATCTGAAGGCCAAGCTATACCAGTCTTCAATAATGGTACAGGAGCTTTGTGTTTTAAAGAAAATAATGTTAAATCATCACTAAATAATGAGTTAGCAATAGCACCACATGGTACAATAGGTGTTTCTCCAACATAAGCAAATGGTTCACAATCCCCAGAGACATCAGGACTCAATTTTCCTAACAGTTGATTATCATCTCTTGATTTTACATATCGTCTGTGATTCTGATAAAAATTAGTCAAACCATAATACATATAAATTTTTCCATTGAAGTCAGAAGGCAAACTAAAATTTATTTTACAATAACAAGGTTGACTATGACCTTCTGCTATAATATCCGCACATTTAACAGGCATTCCTTTTGCACGAAAGATATTTGTAGAATTACAATCTGTATAATCTAAAATGTATTCTTTAACTTGATCAGAAAAATAAAGCAATCCAACTCCAACTGGTATAAAAGCAATCCCAATCACAAAAAATGTTGGTAAAACAGTCCCAGCTGTAAGTATTGGTTGCCAAGCAGGTAAACGTTGCTGCTTAAATGCACTGTCTGTATAAATAAAACATATTATCTTTATTTAAAACATTAATTTATCATAAATATATATTGGATTGTAATATAAATAAGTTTAGTCAGATAAAGAAAAATATTGAGTTTAACTTTAACTTACTTACTGTTACAACCTAATATATTAAACTTACATACTATACAGACACTACTTATATCGTAACAGAAAATGAATAGAGAGAAATTGAGTGGGCATTTAAATAATACATGTATGGGAGATGTACAATAAATATTTAATTTTACAATAAGAATTTTATATTTTAATATAGATAATGAAACACTTGTTATTTCTACTACTACATTAAGTTTTTTATAAAATCTTCATATAAAGATATCAAATATAACCTAACAAGAAACTGAAATTTTCGTATAACAAACTTACCAGAAGGTTTCTTTGTTTTAGGTAATGAACTAACTTCGTTAATAGAAGTCATACTTATTTGTTAAAGAAATGATCTATTTTCTTATCAAGAGTTTCAACAATTGAATACGAACATTTGTAAAACTGAGAGGATATCAATTATTTGTGAAACTCCTACTCCTACTTACATTAATTACATATATAACATGACATGACTCCTATATGACGACAGAGCATAGAACAATAATGAACATAGTCAACGCAGATAACACGTTAAAAATTAAACACACACTTTTTGAATTAAACGTTTTTTTTACAATCGTGTTAATTTTATTATTTGCAGAAAATGTTTCTTAAATAATTAGTAGTTACTTCAGTTTCAAAGTTTTTATATATTTACTCATTATAAATTCGTAACATTTATTGACTTAGATAATTGTTACTTGATGTTGATCCTTGCTTATCAAGGGACTTTTTTTAGTTGTGCTCATCCTGTTAAAGCTAGTTAAATATTTCTATGATGAAAATTTTTATAATATATAAAAACATATATCTTTAATAATGTGTCCTACTCGTCCCTACTTATTAATATACGCTAGTAACTTTTAGTTTTAAATATATATATATACTATTAAATTAATTTTTAGAGATCATGACATTACTTACTTTAATCGGAGGTGGATCAAAATTTGAAATAAATAAGTACTTTTCTATTTCTTAAAAATATGTTTCTTTTATCCATGTATTTATTAACTAGGGACACAATGTTTAAAATGATATAATTATGATACACATTAAAGTAAAATATCGTAGGAAAAACACAAAAAAATTAGCGCTACCGTTCTCAAATGTTGGCTAAAAATATAATTTATTGTAAAAATAAAATGTAATCATACATTATAATTATACAAGAGAAATAAACGACACAGATTTGAAAAAATTCTAGAACTTTATTACTCATTTGTTCACTTCCCCATATCTGCTATGTTTAAAACATTTTTCAGGAGAAGTATCTGTTTAATTACCAAAATCATATTCTCAATTTTGTCAACAGTCAACATGTAATGTGTGTGTAACTATTGTGATATAATGTCTAAATATGGAATTCTTTGTAATGATATTTATAATGTGCAAATAGCATACACTAAAAATGCTTATGATAATGAATATTATTTGCACATAGCTCTTGCATAGCAGAGAATTATTAGTTATTTCATATTGACACTTTAGCCTGAGAAGGAAGCAAGGAAGTCAGTAACAACTTGCTTTAATTTAGCATCAGAAGCTTCACTAATTGTGTTGTCTTTAGCAATAGTGTTTAAAAGATCTCGTTGAGTGGTTCTGAAAGAATATAAGATTAAGTAAATACAAATATAGTAAAATATATTTAAACAAAATGCGTATGTAAATTAAATACCTAATATGGGCGAGGAATTCTTTTTCAAAAGCTGTGATTTTAGAAGGTTCCATCTTATCAAGATACCCGCGGACACCACAATAGATAACAGCTACTTGTTCTTCAATAGCCATGGGTACTGAAAGCATTAATAAATATTTTCCATTTTATTCAAAATTTTGTTAGTCTTTGTAATTTAAATTCATTGTATATATTATCAATTTGTACCATATTGTCCCTGTTTTAGAAGTTCTGTCAACCTAACACCACGATTCAGCAATTGCTGAGTTGCAGCATCCAAATCAGAACCAAATTGTGCAAAAGCTGCTACTTCACGATATTGAGCCAACTCCAATTTCATGGATCCAGCGACCTATTAAATAAAATATAAAAGTTATTTAAAATGTTCTTTACTAAATGTGTATGCATTTATAAATTTATACGAGATGTACAATACTTGTTTCATAGCCTTAGTCTGAGCAGCAGAGCCGACACGAGATACTGATAAACCTACATTAATCGCAGGACGAATACCCTTATAGAACAATTCCGTTTCTAAGAAAATTTGTCCGTCGGTAATAGAAATAACATTTGTGGGAATATAAGCAGACACATCACCAGCTTGTGTCTCGATAACAGGCAAAGCTGTTAATGAACCACCTCCCAAACTTTCATTCATTTTAGCCGCTCGCTCAAGAAGACGAGAGTGGAGATAGAATACATCACCAGGATAGGCTTCCCGACCTGGTGGTCGTCTCAACAGTAAAGACATTTGTCGATAAGCAACAGCTTGTTTCGACAAATCGTCATAAATAATTAAAGCATGCTTTCCATTATCTCTGTAAGGAAATCATTATAAATTGTTTCAGTATCATGTTTATATAAAAGAAAAAAATTATTTTATATAAATGTACCTGAAAAATTCTCCCATTGCACATCCAGAGTATGGAGCCAAATACTGAAGAGGTGCTGCATCAGAAGCAGTTGCAGAAACAATTATAGTATAATTAATAGCACCACTGTCTGTCAAACGTTTTACTATTTGTGCAACAGTGGATCTTTTTTGGCCAATAGCAACATAAATACAGTACAACTTTTTCTTCTCATCTCCAGCATCATTAAATCGTTTTTGATTAATAATTGTATCAATAGCAAGAGCAGTTTTTCCAGTTTGTCTGTCTCCAATGATTAATTCACGTTGACCACGACCAATAGGTACTAGGGAATCTACAGCTTTGATTCCAGTCTGCATAGGTTCTCTTACAGATACCCTGATAAAATATATGTACATATATATATATATATATATATATATATATATATATATATATATATATATATATATATATATATATATATATATATATATATATATATATATATATATATATATATATATATATATATATATATATATATATATATATATATATATATATATATATATATATATATATATATATATATATATATATATATATATATATATATATATATATATATATATATATATATATATATATATATATATATATATATATATATATATATATATATATATATATATATATATATATATATATATATATATATATATATATATATATATATATATATATATATATATATATATATATATATATATATATATATATATATATATATATATATATATATATATATATATATATATATATATATATATATATATATATATATATATATATATATATATATATATATATATATATATATATATATATATATATATATATATATGTACATATATATATGTCGGGTTTACATTAGAATTAGGGTTAGGGGCGTGGAACGAATCTTCGTTTGGGTTACATGTTGTCGTTATGCAATAGAGAAGACATTGACTAGTGCAAATACGATTATTATAGAGCCGGACAAGTAACTGTGGTAGTTAGGTACTCGAGAAACTAATGACAATGATCCTAGGTTCAATAACGAATCCGCGGTCGACGGGATGATAGATGAACGTACTCACAGAATCTAAGTCGGATGCATAATATTCATTGGTCGTAAAGGGTTACTTCTTTCATCAGTGAGATCGCGAACGAGAATGTCTTTCCCGTCCCGATGATGCCACAGATGAAAA